ACTCTGTTCATATGTTGTTGACCTAACCCTATACAGTGTGAGAGCTTAATTGATTACAGTATTCAAACATAAAAAAATGTCCTTTCATCAAGTTACGAGCAATAAACACAAGCATGAAGTTTGATTTGAAATCACAAGTACGATTTCAGACCAAAATTGCACGACACGAGTTTCAATTACCACTTTATTACATCCATTTTGAGATCGCCCAAATAATGGACCTGGTCAGTTCATATATCTTACTGATGCAATACTGAGTCGGTTTGAAATTGAATTTTCCCCCATTTTTTTGGTACGATCCGTGAATAAATCGCACTAGTGATTTCAAAATGGGTCTTATAAAACGCATAATGCTACTTTTGCCAGTCTTTCTTCGAAGAGACGCATTATGCGTCCAGATGAACTACCTTTGTAGTGCGTAAAAGCATAAAATATTAACAAATACTATTACTTGCCCAAGTTCTTTTAGAGGAATAATATGTCTTAGGTATAAAAACGGCCATCGATCCATAAGAAAATGGAAAGGGATAAGTGGGAAATTTTATCAACATTTCTGAGAAGTAACGCTTGACTGACTACCGATTTCCTAGAAATGAAGAGGTTCAGTTCAGGGTGAATCAAAGCTATATTTCGCATCTATTGGATACCTCGCTCAGTTATAAGATAAGAAAACTGTATCAAGTTTGAAAGCCAACTTTCTGTTGTAAAGCTAGGAAATTTGTCGTGAACATGGAGCGTGAATAGGCGGCAAAAGCCATCTCATTTTTCGCAGTTATTAAATGCCACAAGTTCTCTTGCCTTGGGAATGAGTTTGACTGTGAACTTCCTTCTACATGTTTTTTGGAGAACAACATTGAGTATCTCTTCGATACAGCGGAACACCATACAAACAAACCCTATAACAATAAACTTTTCTCGGAAATAATTTCCTATTGTTTAGTCTCCTTAAGGATGACAAACGATAGGATTTACATGATCGATTCCTACAAAAGCGAAAGGTTATAACCTCTTCTCTCACAACACTGTTAATTGTTCAAACTATGGAATAACAATCTTGGCATGTACCCAAGTTATATCTATCATCTACTCTGTTCATATGTTGTTGACCTAACCCTATACAGTGTGAGAGCTTAATTGATTACGGTATTCAAACATGAAAGATTTCCTTTTATCAAGTTACGAGCAATAAACACGAGCATGAAGTTTGATTTGAAATCACAAGTACGATTTCAGACCAAAATTGCACGACACGAGGTTCAAATACCACTTTATTACATCCATTACATCCTCAACAAAGTTTTTATTGAGAGGCGTGAGTTGTTTGTTTATTGTCCCGATCAACCAATCAGACAGCGAGGTAAAACTACAAATACGAAGCAAGAGCACAAATTAAGTTATTTTCTGTAAGTTCGGGAAAAAGACGTGTCGCTCTGACGAAGGGCTAACGCAAAACTACACAATTAAAACTCCTTACGGTGGGCAATTTACGTTA